GGTGCACTGTGCTCGAGTATGGGGGATTTAGACAAACCATGACTTTACCAGATCATTTTGTCAGACCTCCACCGACACATCTGGAGGTTGAACCTGGACCGACAGTCTGGCCAGGATGCATTTGACTGATGGGTAAGGACTCGGGAGTCGCCACCTTGCCCAGAGTTAGTGATACCCCTGAGAGAGAAAAGTGGTAGACTTTACTCACGCCAACCCTGCAAACCCAGCAGACCGTCAGTTCAAACTCCTGACAAGAATTACAGTAAGTCTGAGAAACTACAGCCATAAAACCCACTCTGCAAACCCACTCTGCAAACCCACTCTGTGTGTGCGTGTGTGTATTGAGTCCTCTTGCGCAACCTCGCAGCACCAGCAACTGTTCCATTTGAAAGATGCCAAGGTGCATCAGCCTCAACTCAGGTTCAACCTCAGGTTATATCGTCAACCCACGTATCGTCAATTACAGCCCTTCTGAAACTCATCGTATGCCATTCTCAATTGCAGGAACATCAAGGTTCAAACTCAGGTAATATAGTCAACTCATATAAGTTACAGACAGGACCATAGAGGTCGCGTCTCGGGGGAGCTGCCGTTGTGCCAAAGGAAAGCAAAGCAGATAGCAAACACCCTTGCATCCACAGGACATACACATGGGAGCAGGGATGCAAAGGGTAAATGTACAGTTGCAAAGGTGCACCTTAGGCTTGGCGTGTAATTCTTACGTCTCAACGAACTGAAAGCAATAGAGCTCCCCTAGTCAATACTTGTTGCAAGGGAGGGGAATGCAAAGGGTAAATGACAAAATGTACAGTTTTGAAGGGTAAATGTACAGTTCCCCTCCCTTCTAACACTCAGGTTCTATCGTCAACTCGTATAAGTTACAGGTCGGGTAGGTGCACCTTGGTGTGTAAATATACTTTTGTATGTAGTTTGCAAGAGAGAGAGAGAGGTGTATCAGGATGGAGGGGGGCAGGGGGAAGGGGGAGGGAGGGGAAGGAAGATGCGACAGTTAGTATGACAACACTACACTGTTATTTCCCGTAGTCGATCTCGAATTCCTGCTTGAAAACGCGATGCAAGGTCTTGGTACACTGTTGAAATGTGTTAGAACGAACTTAGAAGATAACGCAGCCGTCCTAAGATGAGCTCAAAGAGAACACAACACACTCTTGACGTATGCTGTCAATGTCTGGCAAGAGCATTATGCCAAGCTGATTGACTTGTTGGGATCCCTACAGGCTCAGCCAAGAGGTACATTATCCCAAGCTGATGGATGGTCTTGTTGGGATCCCTGCGGGCTCAGCCAATAGTAGGTACTGTGTTCATTACGAAACGTTGCAAGGAAACTGCAATAGAGAAACTCAGATTGCAAGGACAATGTACCTGGCCCATATGGCTGAATGGTACAGACATGTAACTGTTGATAAACAGATCATGAGTTCGAACTTTAAACCCTAGGGTCTGTACCCGAATAGAACGCCCGGTCATTATCGCTGTCTGTGTTTAGACTGAAAGTTGGCCCAATAATGACCAGCCGTTCTATTTGGTTGAAGACGGTAGTTAATACAGTAATAGTAGGGGTTAATCGAACTTAATCCCCTTTTTTTTTTTTTTTTTTTTAATTAACA